TGATTACTGTTCATTCATGTATAGTAGCATACGCATAGAAGACAAATTGAAAGTCGAGGGAGTGCAGAGGTATTTCACGTTAAAATTACTCGGAACTGAAAATGGTACGAACTACTCCACTAGATGTGATACCCTAGGACTAGAAACACTATGGCTAAGACGCCTGAGACTAAACTTGACACTTTACTATAAGCTTCTAAACCACTTAGTTTTTACCTCTACTAATGGCACTCGACTTTCAGATGACAATGGCTACAAACTAAGACACACTAAGGGTACAGTAGCTATCGAACAATGTAAAACAGCCACCAGGCAAAAGTTTTACCTGATTAGGTATGCACAGATATGGAATAAACTGCCAATGGAAATGCGTCAAGCAAGTACATTGGCTTCCTTCAAAAAGATGCTTAATGACAAACTACAGGAGTTTGCAAACGATAGTAGTTCTAGTTCCTATCTGAGAGCCTCCGAAATTATAGGTCCATTTAATGTATAAGCTTAAATACTACACCCGCTGTTTTTTGCCTATATTTATAATTCTAGATAAAACATTAACGGTTAAGATACGTATCCTCAAACAGACAAGAAATCTCGTTTGTAAAACTACTACCCAACACAATAAGTGGAATAAAATGGACATAAACCGACAACATGAAAAAGGTATAACTCACCACAACATCACATGGACAGATGAACGCTCGTTGGGCACCATATATCCCTCACCAACTGCAACCCACCTTTCCTTAGATAATGTGATGAACTTATATCTATAATGTTGCTGAGCAGTTAATATTCTCAACTCCTGTCGGAACAGCTGAAACTCATAAACCTTCCTCACGCTAAGAAAATACCCACAAGCAGCAGAAATCCATTAATTAATGCGTCCGAAGCTTATGTACTTACTCCCAACAATGACATTGAACATCAAATGAGATAAACACATCACTGATTTCAAAATAACACATCAATGAACCATAATTCGAGCACTCTGCACACAACAAAGTAATGTATGAATATTTACTTCAAGCTTTATTTTTTTCCCAGGCACTTATAATCCATCCACCAAAGACCTGGTTTTTTTTGTTAATGCGAAGACAATACTCCTGTATTTCCTGTTGTGTTGCACTCACTGACAATCTAGCAGATTTTTCCAACTTTGCACAGAAATGATTGTATATAAGTGAAAAGGCTGTTTTTTACTACTGGGATTAACATTTATCAAGTGTATGTATAATCTCCAGCGAACATGTAAAGCATATATTGCTACTGTCTGTAAATTGTGATTGAATTATATGGTTCTATTTCTGTAACAATTTGATGATGCCTGTAAACTGGCGTCCCTCATGCACTGTACTATGAGAATAAATTTATTTATTTATTTATATTTTTGGAATGCTACATCCAAGTGGACTACAGGTGTAATGGAAGAGAAAACCGCCAGTGACAGACATTATGAACGTCAGAGAAGTGCTGTGGTCAATAAACATAAACCAGATCGGGAAACGAGATTTTAGTTTAACAACGACGTATTTCAGGAGAGTCAACTTATTGACATCCTGTTCAGAGGGATAACTATGAAAACACCGAGTAAACAAAAATCACCCTTACTACGAAGATCGCAGAGGCTGCATGTACCTGGGAAGTTTATTCATGTGGACCCCAAAATGAGAACTTATTACGGAGAGGGGGGTGTTAGGACAAGCGAAAAATCATTGATAGCCGTAAAGTCATTACTAATGTAATCAACCGTATAATGATCATCTATCTACGGTTCAAATTTCTGTCGACGTGTAAACAATATGTGTATACTCTGTATTGTGGATAATAAAGTTGTTATCGTAGTTGTCTCATCTAAATCTGATTTCCATGTCCACCTGGGAGTGGAGGAATAATTCCAGGTGATCAACTGGCCATAATGCTGTGACTGGAGGCTGATTCTAGTTAGCACGGGCAACAAGGAAAACACTAAGTACTCATTCGCAACAGTATCCTTTCCTATTAAAAATATTTACATTAGAAGGATGCCAAGCAGTATCGTGCACATAATTTCAAACCATAGATTATTAACAAACTTTTATTATTTCAGTAGTTGAAATATTCGATTTTTAATAAAGTTTACTATCCAAACGAAGCAGTTTTAATGTTAAATGTCCAGGTCCTGCTAAAGGCTGAGTGGTTAACTCCCATTCCGCTTCAGTGTCAACAGTTAGTTGTATTGGTTGAATATGCCACCATTTCTTGCAACGTTGATCAGCGTGAACCACGTTATTCATGATTAACCCTAGATAGATATCCACTTCCAAGCATACTTGCAGGTTATTTCGAGGATATAATAAGTTCTGATAAAACACGATGTGAAATAAAAACGTGGGGATGAAGGTAATTTATGTATAACGATGCATTTCCAAAGTATGTAACTGAGGGAATGATACAGTTTGTCGAATGATAAACGAACACCTGCGATATACAATGTTAGCTGTAATGGTGTTATTATCAGATTTGCGATAGTTATGGCGACGGTGCTGCTTAAACGGTGTGTTTTTATTTCTCAACGATCAGATTCTGTGAGAGTAGAAAGTACAAACGATGGAACCGGACAGTGACTCGATGATTAGCTAGGGGAACATCGATTTATTGTGGGGCATAGAGGTGGTAGGATAAAATTAGCACAGAATTCACAAATAATGGCTGTAAGATGAATTCCATTCCCATCCTTAAATCAAGTCAACCTGTCCCGGATCATCCTAGCATTGTTGCAACACAATTATCCATGCCCAACGTGTCTATCCCACCTTGTTTATTTAACTGTGTATGTGTGTTTTTACTTCGATCCTTTTAGTCAGACAGTTGAACTCATGACCCAATCAGAGTATTTTTGTGAACTGTTATTTTGCTGCCCCATGTCTTACTTTGTATTATTCTGTTGAGTTTATCTTATTTATTGATTGGTTAAGTAGCCAATTAAATTCTATCTTTGTGCCTATGCTTTGTCTATCTCTTACTTGGGTTTATTCTTCTACTGACTGCTTACCTGAACGGTCGTGTCTGATCCGGCTAGTTCGTAATTTTGGCTTTAACGTTATTCCGCTCTGATAGCGGTGCCTTGCTTTCTGTTAAGCATTGTGTATTGTACTCTTGAAACTGTTAAGGTTTGTTGTATATATATTAATTGATTTGTTTATTAATAGTACCGTAGAAACAGTGACCGGCTTCTTGTTTGTTCTGGACCGGGGTAGCCTTTATCTACGCGTGACTTAATTTCAAGCGATATTGCGCTTACAATGGCTTTGTCAGTGGTGACGTTAAAGATTCAACAATGCAGAACGTACTGACATGTGTAATGTCTCGCCCACTGCTAGGCAAGAAGATGAACAAAAGAGTAGGACACTGGAGGGTAAGGGCATTCCCTACTACCTAAACCTAGGCAGTCTTTTCGTTACCTAAAAGGATTAAGGTTCTTACTTTCGTCTGGAGTTGTCAGCGTGCATCTTCTATCGTGCAGATAGGAGCGATTCGCATTTATGACCACTATCAGATCTACTAACTAACATGCTCCTCGCAATGGATTGCTTTGTGCGTATTTCCGTCATATACCACACAGTCTTTTTCTACATTACTGACCCTCTCAACAAGGTTTTCCCAACAGGACACCATACACATGGGTATGTAACAATATATTTATTCCTGTCCATGTCAGAACAACCTGTTGTACAGTCATGAATAAGTATTACTTAAACTAAATAAATTTTTTGTGGTGAATTTACAGGGTTGCTGTGCTTTTTTGACTTCAGTTTATTGAAACAGTCTGCTAACTGGTCATTAAATGGAGCACATTAAGAAATATAAGAATATTGTCTTTGCATTAACAAAAATTCCAAGTTTGTGTCAGATGGATCACAAACATAAAGAAGAAAAATCTTGAAGTCGATTTCCTTATATAACTTTGCTGTGGGCGGCATCAAATCTTATTTTTTTAAAATTATAGTCACATGGTTTATTAATTTAAAATGGTACCAAGTGGTATACCGTATAGTGCTCTGATCGACCCCATAGTACCTATTCCCTAAATCAGTAAATTATCTGGCATCAACAAATCACGTGTAGTTCTCTAAAATCGTAACCTTAAAATTCGGATAAAGCTGAAGGATTTCAGCAACGTACTTGCGTTGCAAATAAATTTGAGTAACCTGTTCAGCCGATCTTAATAACGTATGCATTTTGTTATGGAGCAAAGTGCGCAGCCTTGGTCACTGAGCACGCAAGTGTCGCCGAATACAACATAGAGGGGGCACTTCTCTTCTACTTCAGATGCACACTTCTTTTGAGTGATGGTAAACCATGACTTGAAAACTAATACAAACGTTTCTACAGCTTCAAGTGGTGGATCTTTCGTCTTACGCAATACGCAGAGCCCTTACTAGAATTAACAGTGATACTTTATATACACATATGATGAGATTTGGCTCAAAAATCACATTTAAGCAACAGACTCTTGCCCAAAAAGGAGACTCATAAGTATTAGGAGTTCAGAGGACGGAAATACGTGTGATTCATGGTACGACTGACTTATTATTTGTGAAACGACTTCAAAGATTTTATTTTTTCCTCATGTCAAACAGTGCACAGAAGAAAGACCTATTCACAATGTCAATAATCTTTAGAACTAACTATAAACCCGAATTATTCCCTTTTCCCTATGACCAGACCAGTACATCTCAGAGGACGTAACAGAACTGGTGGAAGCCAAAGACGAACTATACCATTGTGAAATACTGGTCATCGCACTTGATCATCATCTTAGAAAGTACTGGTAGTGCTGTCGATTAGATATATTTTACCAGTCCTTAATACCTCTTCGAACCGACAAGCAAAAAAGCATTAACCGCACATTTGGTATACTTACTCAAGAATGAAATAGACGCGTTCACAAACTTAGTAGAAAAATACCAAAAGGGAATGGAAGTCATCTGTCCTCGGTTCATAACCTGAATTTGTATTGTTGTCGCTGCTACGCAACAAAGTTTGGTGCGAATTCAAATTTTTTCGTGACCATGTCAGAGAAAGTTAGAGATGCCCTCAAATCCGTAGCAGACTATATGTTTCTTAGCAGAAGCTCCCATGGAGTCGTATATTCAAAGAATAAACACAAAGGTATCTGTATAGCACCCATAGTTACAATATGTATGATCAGAATGTGAATATGTGACAAATTTACCTTTACAGATGGCATTTTATTTTAATAGCTGTTACGCACCATTCTGGTTCATTGGCACACTGATAACTCTCATATTAGAAGTAACCGTTTAACAAAAGAGATTTATTATTACGTGGATTTCATAGTTTGAATATTTGGACCCTATATACAAGGTGATCAACACATCTGTGTTTGCATTATATTCCGTTTTGGAAGGCCTTAGACTCTATCTTGGCTACGCCGGCAATCTGATGGAGATGGTATTTTGACATTAATGTACATCCAGATTTTCAGGTACCCGAATTAGCTGGATCTTGGTTGCTGACTGTTTTAATACAACTGCCTGCAATTTCCTTCATGCTGTTCAACACCCAAATGATACTTTCATCATTTGAGAGAACTTTTCATATCGTTGAGTTTATTTTCGTAGTCTTTGAATCGTTAGTTGGATTCTTCGTCTTAAAACTAATGGTTCAAATTCAAGCTCTAAAGTTTCATTCACACCTTCGATCCCGTAAGGTTGAAGCATTTGAAAATAAGTCTTTTGAGTACCAGCTTTAATTTCATGCAATATACGTTATACCATTTTGTGTATATTTTTCTTTATCCATGAATAGGTCAGTAATCCACTGTTGAAAGACCTACGACGTGTAAAACAACTAGACTCTTTAATGACCATAAGGTGTCTGGTTTATATGATTTTCTGGTTGCGAATTACAAAATATGTTTTGTAGATTAAGGAAGTTGATGTATAGGGTGTATGTAACCATTCGTTTGCAAAAAATGCGTTTTTTGTTTCGGAGGTAATCGATAGTACATACAAGTACATTACCGTTATAAAATCAGAAGAAGAGAGATTTCTGTTTAGGTTCTTGGTAGATATATAAAAACCTCATAGGCTTCGGGGGAGGGGGAGGGAGAACAAAATGGTTGGTTAAGTCAATTGAATATTAGCCGTTTTACTGTTAACAATTAACACGTCTATTCGTGCAGACTGGAACACATGGTGGTCAAGATAATTTCCAAGGAACAAGAGCTCAGAAGCGGTGTTGTGGTGTGATTGCATATCTCTACAGCCTGTTCCTATCATCTCTAGTAAATACATCTTTGAGCAGCGGTGGCAGTTATATTATGCCTCCTTTAGCTGAGGGTAGTGTACAGAACAGCCTGGCAACTAGGTTAGTTGGGTCAGGCTAAAGAGTAAGCAGGTAGTGTGGCTATAGCTTAGGTCTAATAGGATGGATGAACACACAACAACCGTCAAATTTACTCCTAGTTGAAACAGATCGTAAATGAACTTGAAGTCGTTCAGGCAGCTTAGCTAACCTGTTTCTTGGAAGCTTCGTGTACTGTTACGACTCAAGTGACCATCTGAGATGAATTATTCTTGGCTGACCTAGGCTTCAAGCGGTTAAAGTCACCATGCAGTCATCGTACAATGTTGATAGATGCAAGACGTACGCAGTATTAATTAGTTTAATTATGAATTTCTCAACCCAAACAGAGATAGTGTAAGAACACAAGAATTTCAAGCATACGTTTTCAAAGGAAATTTGAATCGGTCTCACCAGTGTTTGTTTATTGTTTTATCATTATTTCCCGTCTCTCTAATTTTTGTTATCTTTCGAGGTGTAGCGACGTGAACTGATGTATTTCAGTGAAAAGTTTTTAGTTTGTCTGTCAGTTAAGCATACTTAAAAATAAGATCCGAAGATGAATATTTAATCAAAGTTAGGCAGATGTCCAATGAGCAAACAGACGGGTTTTCTTCATTTCCTCTATGGTCATATAACTCAGAACACAGTCGAGCATAGCTACATCAAGAAGAGTGAAAAGCCATCCTCAATCTGGCTGACGAATATCTACCTGCCCAACCTGAGTCTCAACATCCTAGTAGTATCTTCTTTCTAAATGCAAAAGACTGCTGACACGTAGGAATTATTCATGAAGGTCATTTTAGTATTCTCCGATCTTTTGGATTCAACCATGTATATTTCGTCACTAGGCCTAAAGACATCTTTTGCATTATATTCATCTACTCACTAGAGCTTAACTCATAGTTTAAATGTGTATTCCTTTAAGATATATTTTATACACAATACTTTCTGGTGGAGGATTTCATGCAAAACATATCATACCAATATGACTGAAATGTGTTTAATAGAGAATTATCATCATAAGATGTTTGCCACAATTTTGAATATAGGTCGAGACAGGAAAAAAGCTTCATTCAAAGGATAAGAATGAGCCTCCTGTGGATAGACGTTTATTTAACCCATGGGTTGACTGCTACCAACAAAATGTATATATATGTTTCTGCATAAAAGTTGTGGCATTGACTAATTCAGCCTCCACGTAGTTCTTCTGAGGAGTAGTGCAAGCCGAGAATTCAGCAAATATGCAATCAGTCGAATAATCTGAAAGTAAATACTCCATATTATTATTTCCTTTAATTCCTAGAGGAACACAGGGCTTCAGCCGTACGTCTCCATTGCGTTTGGTCCTCTGCCAACGTCCTCATCACCTGGATCCAAGTCTGCCCACATGCTTTCATCTCTTTTTCACGTGACCTCCTCCAAGTCACCGTTGGATGACCAACTTGCCTCTTCCTATTCGGGTTTCACTTGAGGGCCTGTTTAGTGATGTCACTTGATGGTTTCTTCAGAGCATGGCCAATCTACCTCCACTTCTTCCTGCATATTTGTTGCACAGGTGGATCCTGCTGGGTTGGTTCGTTCATTGCCAGAGATCCATCTCGGTTGCTGATCTTTTCTGGCCGGCCATCTGATCTTGAGCGAAGACAGCTGTTTAAGGAGGTCTGTAGTTTGTCTGAGGTGTCTTTTTCAAAAGAAAAATACTCTCTATAGAGCTATTCATTTCTTTGAAATCCTCTGTAAACAGATATGAATAGCATAAATAGAAAAGACGTTCAACGAAGAGTTATTCCTTCCAACAATATCATTCTCAGCCTGTTCAATCCCACATATGGTGTCAATTTTCTTAGCAATAAAAGGAATATTTCCAACAGTCTGTCATCAGAATCTTAAATTTTAGGTAGTAAATCAGGTAATATAAAAAGCATTAATTATGTATAAGCTTAAATAAAATTAAATAGGTAAATTGGGTGACGGGAGTGAGTAGAATTCAGATAAAACTGAGTGACAGTCAAGTTAACAATAGTGGTAATAAGGAGTGGAATTTTAATAGGGGCTGAGTGAGGGAGGAAAATAATACAATTTAGAAACAAAACGATAAAAGTTACATATTTGGTGTTAAGATAGATCAGGTCCATTGTAGATTTAATGGCTGCACAAAAGTCTTTTATATACAGAGTTCAGGAATTAACACGTGAACTGTCATAGCCTTTGCGGTTTGATTCTTACTCTTTTAATAAAATTCCCATGTATTCTGTGGATGAATTTGGAGTTAATTTGTGGATTAGCTTGGTATTCCAGGAAAAAGCCGTGGCGAGGGAATCTATTCTTCCTTTATAAAGCTATGAGGGCAAGTGTTCGATGATACGTTTGTACAGCAAACGCTGGGTACGACTGGCATATCTAGCTCCACGCAGGCAGGTGAATTGACAGATGCACAGGGATGAGGCCAACAGTGGTAGCTTTTCCTTCACATTCATGCGAATCACTTTTTTTATTGAGAAAGTATTATATTATTTTCTTCCCTGACTCCCTATTAAATTTCTACCTATCATAAGCATTATCGTTAACTTGATTGTCGTTTAATTTTAGTTGAATTCTACTCAACCCCGTCAATGATATCACGTCACTCAACTTACCTAATTTTATTTCAGTTTCTACATTATTATTATTTACTTTAATTCTTAGAGGAATATAGGGCATCAGCCGCACGTCTCTACTGAGTTTGGTTCTCCAACAACGTTTTCATCTCACTCCACGTCTGCCCACATGCTTTCATCTCCTCTTCACATGAACTCCTCCATGTCACTCTCGGACGACCAACTCGCCGCTTTCCACTCGGGTTCCACTCAAGCGATGGCCTGGCGTGTGATGTCACTTACTTGGTGGTTTGTTTTCTCAGAATATGGCCAATCCAATCCACCTTCATTTCTTCCTGCATATTTGTTGCACAATTGGTCCATGCTGGGTTGGTTCGTTCATTGCCAGAGATTCCTTTTGCTGGTCTCTTCTGGCCGGCCATCTTATCTTGAACGAAGTATTGAGCGAAAACAGCTGCTGGTGAAGGTCTGCAGTTTGTTTGAAGTGCACTTCCTGACGCGTCAAGTCTCTGTGCCTTTTCAGGGTCCCAGTTTCTACATAATCAGGGCTTTTTGTATGACATGATTTGCCACCTAAAATTTACAATTCTAATGACTCATCTTTGGAAATACTCCTTTTATTACTAAGAAAATTGACAGTATATATGCGATTGTACAGGCTGAGAATGATATCGTCAAAAAAGGCAACTGTCTGTTGGACCTCTGTTCTTTTGTATGATTCATTGAGGGTGGCTGGGTTTAGGTTGCACAAATAGGAAAACATAAAATATCTGGCAATTACCTATCGCAGAAAGAGAGGCAGTAATGCATTACATAAACAACACCTGGATTCTTCTGATTGGATTGCAATTGTATTTGAAGGTGTTTATAAGGTGTGCTTGTCGGGTGGGGATTATTTGCAATGTCTCTGGACGTTATTACTTCATCTAGAACAGCGTTACAGCAGCACACCACCAACTCTTCCTGTTTTCTGTAGTCATTGTTAACTAGCCCCACGATCATCCAGTCAGCTTTCATCTCGCCCCACACAAGTTTCTCTATGCTACTCACAGATACCCAACTAGTCTTTTCCCATTCTGATTCTCTTTCAGGCTCTGGCATGTTATTTCACACAATACTGTTCTCATTGTATGTCCAAGCCATCTCCGACTCCTTCCTTTCATTCAATACGTTTTTGATTGGTTGGTTACACTACCAGCGTTTCTTTTTGCTTATCCTTTCTGCTTAGTCACTTACACTAAGTGAAGTTAGCTGTTGATGACAGTCTGAAGTGGCCTACTAGAAGTGACTTTTGTGATGTCCGCGCGAAAATCTCCTCCTTGACTGGCATTAGTGTTGAAAATTTGGATGCTGTTTATTATGCTGGATGGTGTAAGCCTTCACAATGATAAAAAAGTGATAAATGCGTGTCTCACATTGCTGACCACCTCTGGCTTTAAGATCATCGCCTATAGTTGAAGCTATACTGGTCTCATTTGATGTTGCTAAAGTATCATTTACCTGGATGTTTGTATGTATGACCAGCCAGGTGATTAGGAAAAAAAAGTCATGAAAAATTCCCATTCGAACATTAATAGACAGAAGACCAGTAGCTCAGTGAAGAGTTTTTTTAGCCGGCGAATTCATTTTTATAGCTGTACAATCGCAAATATATATGGTTGTCTTGTATGTGTGTGTACATTGAATTTACCAAACGAAAATACAGTTAGAAAGTTCAGATGAGTTGGGATTTTGATATAAGAGGGTAGTAACAAAATTGATCAGCTGTCACAAACGATTGTTAAAGAAGAGTTACGTAATAACTTGAATAGTTTGATGAAAGAGTTGTG